GAAGTCAAACTCTCACTCTTTGCAGATGATATGATACTTTATGTGGAAAACCCCAAAGACTCCACCCCAAAACTGCTAGAACTCATACAGGATTAGGCACTCTTCCTAATTCGAAGTGAAGCACCCACATTATCCAGCCAAGTTTTCTAGAGAAGATAGTCTGAGCTCCATCCGCCGGATCCTTAGCTCAGTCTCACATTTGGCTCTAAACTCAGGCACAAGGAAGATAAGGTATTACTTATTGGCCCCCAACTCCAATTATATCCATTTGCATTTACCATTAATAGAAATTCTGTCCATGCTGCCAAGGAGAAACCTTGGTGCAGTAGAATACCCAGGAACACTGGTTCCTTTGATGAAAACTATGGGGGAAAAAAATGAAAGAGAAAAATTTGTATCAGTACACACTTCTGAGTACTTTGGGTCCATATTTTGTTTTAAGTGTTACAATGTTAATACAGAATTCAACTTGTATTGGGGATGTATATTTGAAAGTTTACATGTCAATGTAGAGCGAGGCACCAGCTAGCTGCTGACTACAGAGACTGGAACCCAGGCAGATGCTGTGGGAAACCAACCTCGGGAACTGAAATTCACATCTGTATGCAAAATTCCAACACAGTGCCCATTACTCGGTTGCCCAGGGCACTTTCCTGTACTGCTGGAAGTTTCTGATGCACAATTCTATCCTTAGAACCTATGATCAAACAACTGTCTTAATTCTCAAACTGCTACTTAAAAAAAATAATCTGAAGCTGCTTTTGGGAAGTATCAGAAAGTATTTTTCATTTTTGTTATTTCTACTGGTGTGCCTAGGGCAAGTGATTTTTTTGGCCTGGGTCTTATCCCATTGAATGGGGGTACTAATGACTGCACCAGCTTTCCCCAGGGGCTAAGCAAAGTATCAAACTATGCACCGGGAAGTATAGGAAGTATAAAGCGTGTGCAAGACAAGGTTATTACATTACTCAGGGTTCCTGTTGTCAGGAAAGGTAAACACCACTTGCAATTCCAGTTCCTGTCTTCTGAACAGCCTCCAGAAAGTGAGAACCTACTTGACACATGAACTCCAAGGATCTCCACCCCTCCCCCCTCCCCGGCAAAATAGAGGGATAGGCACATTTTAGACCATAGATTTGAAGGTTATAGAGAGGTTTTCAGACAATTTTGCCCTTCATTTCTCAATTTGTCTTTGCCATGCAGGGAGCTGTTCTAACAAATGCTGAAATGATAGCACTGTATATATAATACGATACATAGACCCCTATAGGAATAGATGTACCTATAGTTTTAAAGACATATACTTACTTTCTGAATTCATGTCTCTCTTTGTAATTGATTTGCTTGCTGTTCTTGCTTCATCAAATGGTGTCCCATATGGAACCTTGTAAAACACTTGCTGTAGAATTTCATCTCAAATGAAGTAAAAAAAGGCATGTTAATACCAACTGTGGGGGATTGACATTTTTCTCTGCAAGTACCTAAAACAGTCTACAAATACAGTAAATCAATGATATAAGCTCAGTGGACATATGATGTTATACTCTGAAATACCTTGCCTTGGGAAGGGAAATCCTAACTCCTACAATCATTTCTGAAAAAGTGTGATTGCACTAGATGTCTTGAGCAGTAGATATTTCCCACTGAAAGATATGCAGCTAGAAACTTTGCCCCAAATCTCATGACATTTAGTGTCATTATCTTCCTTCTTGCTCCAGTTGTCATTCTGACCCACTTCGTAGTAAGTTTTGAAATGAAGAAGTTGGATTCTTCCAAATTTTTTGTTCTTTTTTTTTTTTTAAGATTTATTTATTTATTTTAGAGAGAGAAGAGGGCGTAAAGACAGAGGAAGAGGGAGAGAGACAGACTCTCCAGCAGACTCCCCACTGAGCACAGAGCCTGATGCAGGGCTCAATCCCACAACCCATGAAATCATGACCTGAGCTGAAACCAAGAGTGGGAGGCTTAATCGACTGAGCCCCCCAGGAGTCCCCCAAAGTTGTTCTTCTGTTTCAAGATGATTTTGACTACTTTGGGTCTACTGAGATTCTATAGGAATTTCAGAATGAGTTCTTCTATTTTCCAAAAAATGCAATTAGAATTTTGATAGGGTTTGCATTGAATCTGTAGGTCACTTTGGGGATTATTGTCATCTTTACAACAGTAAGTCTTTCAATTCATTAACATAGGATATCTTTCCATTTATTTAGGTCTTCTTTCATTTCTTCCAGCAATGTTTTGTCCCTTTCTGTGTACAAGTTTTTTGCCTCCTTCACTAAATGTATTCCTAAGTATTTTAATCTTTTTGATGCCATTGTAAATAAAATTGTTTTCTTGATTTCTTTTCCTTTTTTGGACTATTCATATCAGAATATAGAAATACAAATTATTTTTCTGTGTTGTTTTTATATCCTGCAAACTTTCAAATGGAGCTAGAGACTATTATACTCTGCCCCTCTCCCCTGCTTGTGCTCACACTCGCTCGCTCTCTCTCAAAAATAAATAAATAAAAATCTTTTTAAAAAAAAAAAAGGAAAGAGACTTAACTATAGAGAACAAACTAATGGTTATCTGAATTAATTTTTTAGCTCTAACAATTTTTGTGAACTTTTTATGGATTTATTTTAGATCCTTTCATTTCTTTTTCTTGCCTAATTTCTCTGCTAGGACTCACAGTCTATGTTGAAAGAATTGGCAAGAATGTCTCATGGCTGATATTAGGGGAAAAACTTCCATTCTTTCATCATTATGATGTTAGCTGGGTATTTTTCATATATGGACTTTATCACAGTGAGGAAGTGCCCTTATATTCCTAGTTTATTGAGTGTTTTTATCACAAAAGGATGTTAAATTTTTAAATAAGTTTTTTTTAAGATTTTATTTATTTATTTGAGAGAGAGAATGAGAGAGAGAGAGCACATGAGAGGGGGGAGGGTCA